TTAAAAAATATTTTTCAGTTTTTTAAAAATAGTTTTTTGTAAAAACCGAAAAAAAATATTTTCGTTTTTTCCAGTTTTTAGTAAAAATATTTTCTTTAGTTTTTTTCAGTTTTTATAAAAAAAATAATTATTTTTTGGGTATGGATAATGAGTTTTTTTAATTAATTAGGAGATATTTAGAATTGACCAACAAGACAATGACACGTGTCCTTCCGTTTAAATGAGGGGTATATTTGAACCCAAAGTATGACTGCAGGGGTATAGATAATCCAATAGTATAACGAGGGGTATTCTTAAACCATTTTCGAAAGTAGTGGGGTATATTTAGGCCTTTGTCATATTTTAATACAATCTCCATAATATATACCGAAATTAGTATCAAATCACCCATATTTAGTTTTAAGCCATGAAATCGCATACCTTAGTGCAAATTAAATCAGCACTCGAAGATGAGAATGAGATGAGAGTGACCAAAACCCAATCAAACGATTGGCGTCCGCTGTACAAAGATTTTCTGAAACTATTAGTAGTAACAGTAAGTAGTACTAATGGTTACTTTTGTCACACGTGAATTTACCCACCTCAGATTTTGTCACCTTGTACATTTGGTAAGTGCAAACAAAAGGAAAACAGATTTTTGTTTTTCTTTTCCTTTTCCTTTCCACTCTTCTTCTCTCACTGTGTGACTTTTAGCTTCTTTCTCCATTCCTTTGGAGGAAGAAAAGAGAGAGACTAAAGAGGGTGTAAATTAAAATTCCAAGAAATGCGGACGGTGCCACTTGGAAGGACAACATGTATAATTGGTACTAATAATAGTCTCAATCTGTTCCTAAATCTGGGTGCTATCAAGATCCCTTTTCACTTTCCTGCTTCCGATTTCAAGGCTTCTCCCAAATCTTTCTCTTCTCTCCCCAGAAGATCAGGTCCAATTCACTTTCCTTTTTCTATCAGTATTTAGTTATAGCTATAGACTGACATATCTACAACACTTGTTTATTTTGGGTTTGTTTTATATGATTTTGACTGTGTTCACTTGTTACTTTAGTTTTATGTGGCTTAGAATACTGAAGGAAATGATCGGATTATAACATGATGTGATTATTGTACACTAGTGGTTTCTGTTTGTTTTTCTTTTTGCTTAAAAAAAAGAAGGAAAAAGTTAGTAGTGCTAAATTATCTAAATGAAAGGTCAAAATTTTAGGATAGATTACTAATTATGGGCAAAGTTCATTAGTTAAAAAATTTGTTAGAGTTGAACTTGCCTAGGTTACTTGTCTATAACAAATTTACTTGTTAACATATCTTTGGCAAGGTTTTTGCTGAATGGATCTGACCCGAGGGTGCAGACTGTTTAAGTCGAACTCGGGGAAGGTAGAATGAGCCAATAATTGGGGGAACCAGAGAAAAGCTTTGCACTGTTGACCTTTCACATTCTATCAAAAGGGAGATTGATTCTCCCTGTAAAAATAGTTGAGGAAAAAGGGCCCTTTTGTTGAAGGGCTAACTATTGTAGAGGACTCCTTGTCTAGCTTTTCCCGGCCAAATGACTACAGGATCATCCATCCACTCTATCCCACTTCACCATTTCGAACTTTCTCCAGAAGGTTTTTGCGTACCAGCTCTTTCTGTGGAAATCCCTTTACAACTTCCTGGATGTTCATGCTTGCTTTAAGTATCTTCTCATATATCTCGTGAACCTCCCGGTGTTTGTTATAAATTTCTATGGACCAGCATGTATACAATTGGCAAGGATATAACAATCTTGGACAATAATATCATAGGAGAACTAAGAAATTTGGACTAAAGAGAGCCAGAACTCTTTTATTTTACTGAAATTGGCATTATTCAGCACTTGGCAGTGCTGGAAGATGGAGCCCCCTAAAAATTTTGTAGGAGTTTCATAAGCTAAGAATGAAACATAAGAAAATTCAAATAGGGAGTTGTTCTTTGCCAATGTTACAAGTGTCATCCGGTGGCTGACTAATGCTTGGGGGTGGTGGGGGTTGGGTTGGTGAATATATGAGTAGCATGCAAACAAAAAGCATCGCCGATTATCCCTGGGGAGGTCTCCAAATGGTGAAGTTAGGCTACAACAAATGTGTAACTATTATGACTAATCAAGATGTGGAGCAGTGTCCCTCAGCAGTGATTGAGATTATTTATAGTATGGTCATGTAATATCCTCTAGCCTTGTGATTGAGAGTATTTATAGTATGGTCATGTAATATCCTCTAGCCTTGTCTTTCAATGGGGAAGGATGACTCACTCAATCAAACTCCGCATTTGTTTATATTAGAAATAGAAAGAATCTCTATTTACTTTAAATTGATGCAAGGTAAATCAGGGTTTTGCAATGTATAATGTGTATTTATGTTACAATATGCTCAAATGGTTTTGCCACGTAACTTGGGCTTATCATTCTCTTCTAGAACTAATTGAGTGATTTCTTCTCTTACAGGTCTATGTAGGGCCAGCCAAGTAGCTGAGCTTTTCCCAACGACATCACCTGAGGTTTTTGTAAGGGAAGCCAGGGTAGAGGACTGCTGGGAAGTAGCTGAGACTCACTGTAGCTCCTTCTTCCCTGAATACGCCTTCCCTCTAGATTTTGTGTTGAGAATTGACAGGCTGATTGCTATGCTATTTGGATTCTCCATACCTAATGGATGCAAGAGAACTTGTCTTGTTGCTGTGGTTGGAAGCAGAGATAAAGAGGCTTGCTTAATAGGTACAGAAGAATTGAAACTTGGAGGATTTGACGGTCGATTGAATCTCAATAAGGGCTATGTAACTGGAATATTGACTGTGGATACTGTAGCTGATTTCCTTCCAAGAAAAGGACCCTTGCGGCAGAGAAGGTCAGTTATGTTTTGGATACTTATCAGAGGGATGGAGATTATTTTAATAAATGGCCTTTCCATAAAATTCTAGTTTTTGGCTAACCATTTTTTGTGAGAAGGTAACATATCCAATATATTAATGAAATCATCAGCACGTCTGTTTGTACTGGAAACCAAAATTTACATCTTGAAATGTTTAAACAAAAAGCAGAAACCAAAAATCCTTGTTCTTCTAAGAGTGAAAACTGATCATCTATACATTCTTGTTTACACCAAAAACTAAAAAGAAGAATACAATTCATCTTGATCTTCTGTGTAAAGCTACTTGCATCTTCAAAACATCTTGAATTTCTCTCTTTCCAACAGCCCACCAAATAGCTGCTGGGACAAACTCTCCATCTGTCTTTGTTAGATGTAGAGCTTCCCCTAGTGTTCCAACTAGACAAAAGTTCATAAGGTCTTCCTGGAATTGTCCATCTAATACTCCATCTTTTGGCTAACCATTATTATCAGATTCACTAAACATATGCTAGAAGTAAACTGTTACTATAATTTACTATTCGATCGGTCTAGGGTCATGATGTATGGAAGATCTCTAAAGCTTTCTAATTGGCCACATTTTGAAAGCACAACATCGGATTAGGCATTAGGTGATCTTTAAATGCTTAATGATTGTAAATTACTGTAGTATTTTCCTCATTTCCTGTATGGAAAGATGGAACCTCAAAACACTGTCTGATATGATGGTCAATACACCGATGCTATTTGGCTATTGAGTAAAGTGATTCTTCCCATTCCATAGTACAAAGGGAGTTTCACAGTCTCCTTTTTGTTCTCTAAAATTCTATTGTTCCTCTCTCCTGATAATCAACCAAATTGCAGCTGGGATAAGAGTCTTGACTTCAACTACTGCTTTCTTGAGTCCCCTCTTGTTCCGACACACAAGAAATTTCCTTCCCTGATCTAGGGATAGACTTGTGAATCCCCAGAATGTTTAGCATTAAACCCCATAACTGTGGAGGAGTGCACTCACTTTGCAACCATTATATTAATAAGTTTCTTCTACCATCACTAATATAATATAAAATCAAACTAGTATCTTAAACTCCATCTCTAATCAAATAGCATCATGTGAAATGAGACAAGGGAGTACATAATACTAACCAACTGTCTCTTTCACAAGAGACAGGGTTTGTATGGCTTCCGTTGTTGGTCGTTTGCCTTAGTTAGAAGTAGAACAAGAGGGTAACGATTACTTGTACTGAAGAAATAAAGGGGATGGATAAAAAACCTGATTAAGAAACAAATACTTGGTAATGGGATGGGGAGGTTAGTCCATCCGCTCTAGTGGAGTTCTACTCCTTTCTCTTTATGTGCATTTGTGCATCCATATACTTTTTGACATAACATCCACTCAATCAAAAGCTGATGAAACCATTGTAGTTCTTTGCTCAACAGGTTTTGCATTGAACATGATTTCTATCTTATGCAAGACGTTAATAATTTTTACAGGAAAGGAATTGCCTATATATCAAATGTTGCAGTCCGGGAAAGATACCGCCGAAAAGGCATAGCAAAAAAACTTGTAACTAAAGCGGAGGCACAAGCCAGAAGCTGGGGATGCCGTGCAATTGCTTTACATTGTGACACTAGCAACCCTGGAGCCATAAAGTTATATATAGGACAAGGCTTCAGAATCATCAAAGTGCCAGAAGGAGCAAACTGGCCTCAACCAAAGACATCCCCAAATATGCAGTTCAATTTATTGATTAAACTACTGGACATATAAGACAGTTTAGTAAACAATTGGGTGTGTGATACTTGTATATTTATGTGTAATTAAGGGAGCAGTAGCTGTAACTAGTCAAAATTTCTTCTTTACAATGTTTCTGTTGTATAATGCTTGCCAAACCAATGGCAGTTGATTTATTATTAGGAAGCACCCTTATAGTAGCAGTTTTTGCACTCTTTTACACATAATTATCGGACTGAAAGATATAAAGGTTAGTTTTCCATTTTAACTTCCCAATGAGTCTTTTCTTTTCTGAAAAAATCCTATAGTTGCTCATACAATTTGCAAAGTAAATATCACCTCCTTCAAAGACTGTTACTAGTAAACTTAAGCCTCATATTTGTTACTCTAGGAGGCGAAAAGTACTAGCGTTAATCATCTAACTGTTTTTTGCTTTTCCGCTTCACACCTTTCACATTGCAAATGCAAAATTTCTGTGTTTGTCCATGACAATCTGCACATTTTTATGTCCTTGAGGTAAAAAGATGCACCAAACAACTACTGTAAACGAAGTAATCACAAGTATCTCCTGGTACCTATCACACATTTTTATGTTGTTTGCACAGACGGTACAACTTTATTACATACAGCTCTTGATTTGTGAAGGAAATTTTTTCTATTCCAGCATTTCCAAGTTTTGAAAGATTCCAAAAACACATCAGTGGCCCTGTGGTCAGGTTGTCCAAAAGGTTGATGATCATCTAGACAACAGATAAATGCAAAGCGCAACTGCTCATACTCATGCTCCAACAAACTTAGTCAAGGCGGAGGTATCAAGGGCGGTGAACTCATTCACAGCATTAAGCACATCATGAGCAAGTTTTACAGCAGCCTCGTTGCTTGGTGCCTAAAATGATATATAGTCTATATCAGATATTTGTACTCGCAGAAAATTGCAAGAGCTCAAGAAATACTCAAAAGGAATAGTTGTAACCTCAATATTAAGGGGTAGAACAGGGTCATGTAGTGAAAGTCTTAGAAGGAACCACCCGCCATAACCAGAAACTCTAACCTGTCATCAAAACCAAAATAATCTGGGGACTGTTAATCGCAAATATACTTGTGTAGATATCCAGGGATTAGCAAAATACAGCTAATGAACTTCAGACGAACAGCAGGATACATATGATGATTCATCACACATGCAACGACTACCACAACGACTAAACAAATGAAATATGCTGGCCATAAGCAGTTGCTGCTCGGTGTGCTCCAATTTCAAGGAACATAATAATAAATCAATGGTATCAAAAAGAGTAACTTGATTTGCTTCTGCAAGGACGATAACAGCTAAAAGCTTACCCCTTCATAGTTAACAGGTGCTTTTAGAAGCTTAGCATCTGAGTCAACTGTATTCTCAAGCTGCTTCAACACTGCTTCCCCATATACACGGAAGGATCTGGAGGCACAAGCATGTTCCGTAATTTACAGAAACACAATAAGCTCAGCCAAATTAAATTGCAAGGACAAATAGCATACCCTCCTTTAAGATCTGAGTGATTCTGATCGATCTTTAGTCTAAGTTCAACAGCAACAGCTGGTTCTTCGAGACCCTCCACCATGTCAGTCAAGACTTTGCTGCCGCCTCCTTGTCCCGATGTTCTAGCTGATGCAAGCTTATTCAGTAACTTCACCTGCAAGTGAGGAACACGAACAAGATTTAGAAAATTTACTGACAGCAAAAATCTTAGAGCCCAGGGACTAGTTTTGGCAGAAACGTACCATAAGGTATGCACCATCATCAAGCCAATGATTCTCCCTTAGAGCTCCATGCCCACTAGTTTCAATAGCCAAATGTGCTTCCTCACCAACAGAGTTCTGTCAACATTCTACTATTAAGTACAATCTGTCTCAGAGCAACTTAAAGCTTGGCAGCAAAGATTTGATGCATTCAACTCTATCCAAACCCAAATATTAGAAAAGTAAAGTAATGGCAAGAGTCATAAGCCATCTATTTAGGCATACAAGTGCTTCACAGTTTCGAAGCTTGAGGCTGTAGTTTCCTCATGCTGATAACTTCAGCAAATTTAAATGTACTATACCAGGCTAAACTCGTTCAGAACAAGATGATTAGTTATCGGAGGATTCCAGTTTATCTCAACACTCAATCCTGAAAGTTGTGATTGTATTGAAGAGAGTGCGCAATTATTAGAAATAAACCCACATGTTAGTGTTTCAGGTTTGCTTTATCACCCCAAGTGACAACAACAAACCCAGTGTAAACTGTAATCCCACAAGTGGGGATTCTGGGGTATCATCCAAGTGAATGAAGTTCAAAAACTTTCCAATAGAAGTATGCAAAGTTTAAATGAAAGCAGTTGATAAGTTGGGTTTTGGCCAACTTATCATTGTCTTATACTAAGTTTTTAACGTCTTAAATTTAAATTTAGAATTATGGCATAAATTGCTTGGTTTCATGAAGAAGAGTGTAGATGGCCGAGGAAGTGGAAATCGCACAGAAAAGAGGCCAAGAAATGAAGATTTAGATTTTAGAGCTTTGAAGATGAATTTCGAGGAAGCCAAGCTGAAAGCAAGAAGAAAAGAAGAACTGCCGAACGTGAAACAACCCGCAGAACGCAGATCAGAGTCAGTATTAGGCCCAAGTCAACATATTCAGGGAGGCAAGAATGTGGTCCATGATTTTAAGTGTCAGAACATACTCTTTGAAGTTGCAATTATGCTGAGGCAAAATGAAAATGCTCCCGTAAAATGGAGATTCAGAGAGCAGGTTTTTGATCAAATTATTTTGCGGACCACGGTCAAAAGTGCGGACTGCGCTTTCAGGCAGAAGGAAAACTTCAGAAGTTTAGCAAGAGGCATAATGCGGATCGCGGAATAATGTGGGTCTGTGGTTTAGTAGTTCGGAGGGACATTTTTTGGAACTTTATTATTTGTTTTAAATTTTAATTAACCATAAATAGAATGTTTAGGGTTATTTTTAGTATCTTTGAAGCTGGGAAGCTGAGGAACAAGGGTTTGGAGACTTGGGAAGCATGTTAACTTCAACTTTGGAGGAATTCAACATTGTAGTTCGCCATTTTCTATCTAATTCTCTTTACCCATTGATGGTTAGGAACACATGTTTTTAGCTACATTTTGCATTCTAATTGCTGCACTTTAATCGTGTTTGAGCTAAATTGCTAGTACTTTGTACTTATTACGTGTGTTGTGCCTAGTAGGAAGTGATTCCGAGTTGAGAAGTATTGTTGGAGCTAAAATGGATGAATTGGAACTTCGACGTCTGAGTAAAAGTCGAAAGAATTAAATCGGGATCATGTTCGGGATTCGAGGACCATGATGTTAAAAAGTGAAGAAAAATCGGAAGCATAGAGAAATGCGCTACCGCGCCGCGTGGGGCGCCAGACGCGGCAAGAGAAAAGTAGCAGACATGAAAAGAGCACCTCTCTGAAAAGTCCCACTAGTGGGTCGCACAGGGCCTTGCGCCGGGTGACCCGCCAGTGCAAAATGGCGGCTGGTTTTCCCCTTTTCGGGATAAAGAGGGTATCTTGGTCCAGATTTATTCCTACTTGGTATAAATATATTGTAAACACGACTTTGAAGGGGAATTCGACCGAGGAAGCTATTGGAAAGCGGCTGAGGAAAAACACCTGATTTTCATCCGTTTTCTTACAATTGATCGATTCAAGACGAGAGTTTGTATCGTGAAGTTGGTTTGGATGATTTTTATGTTTCTTAACTATTTTATGATAACTTTCTCAATTGTTATGAAGTAGTTCACCTTAAGGTTTGACATGATTTGGTGACTTGATTGTTGTTCATGAATTTACCTCGTGTTTGATTGCTTGAATTGGTTGGAGGAGTTTTAATCTTAGTTGTGATTTTATTCTTTATTTTGTTTAATCGAAAACGAACATCTTATTGAATATTGTTGCAACGTATGCCTTAATTTACTTTGGTGATTCTTTAAAGAAATCAAAAGAGCTTTGCAATTTATCGTTTGAATTAAAATTGAGAAAATTCACAAGAAATGTTGATTGACTTAATTATTAGAAAAGATTTGATTTTGATTGAGATCAGATTTGATTTTATTCTGATTGATTGTAATTTATTTTTCTTCCTAAAATAGTCATAGGATTTGGTGTATAACTACCTTTGCTTAGGGATGTAAGAAATACACAGAAATACAAGAAACCTTTTTTTCTTCTCAAAAATCTACATGGTATCAGAGTCATTGTTGCCTTTTTGAGGTGAGTTATCTCCCTCGCAGCACTAGGGTTCCGTTTTTATCAAAAAGATCGAGTTTTCTCTCTCGTCCGCAACACAAACCCCTTCTGGTTCCATCGAGACAGATTTGATTTCCGGCGAGGCAGATTAGTTTTGAATAATTTTCTTCAGATTTCCTTCTGATGGAGACATTCAAGGAGACGGTTTCTAAAGAAATCTTGTCTTCAGATGAAATTCAGTTTCTTCATCGCCTCCTAGCCAAACTTGACTCCGCTAATGTTGCCACATCCAATTATGTGCAATCAGGTAATGCTTTTGCTGCTCACCTTAATTCTTGGATTGTTGATTCTGGTGCAAATAGACACATGACAGGCTCTTCTAAAAGCATTCAAAACTATTCTACGTGTCTCAAAGGATATAATGTTAAAATAGCCAATGGTTCTTTAACACCTATCTCTGGAACAGGTTCTATCGTTTGTACTCCCAATATTAAACTATCATCCGTGCTCCATGTCCCTGAGTTCCCTGTCAATCCTTTATCTGTTAGTGCCATCACCAAAGCTCTAAACTGTAAAATCGAGTTCTTTCCCGATCATTGTATTTTTCAGGATCTTCAAACAAGGAAAAGGATTGGCAGTGGTAGATTGCATGATGACTTGTATATATTAGATGGAATTCAAAACTTTGGTCAAGCCTTTTTTGGGGAAAGTAAGGATGTCAACCAAGAAATAATACAACGGCATAGACGGTTAGGACACCCATTATTTTTTGTTTCGAAGAGGTTATATCCCGATTTGTTTTTAAGGACTCAATTTAAATCTTTGTTTTGTGATGCGTGTGAATATGCCAAACATACTAGAAACTCTTATCATGTGAGCGATAATAGAAGCACAACTCCATTTATGACTATTCATTCTGAGGTATGGGGTCCTACACAAACTGTTTCTTTATCTGGTAGTCGATATTTTGTTACTTTCATTGATTGTTGCACTAGGATGACTTGGGTATATTTGTTAAAAGCCAAAAGTGAAGTTTTCTCTTGTTTTCAGTCATTTCATAAGATGATTTGTACTCAGTTTGATGTCAAAACAAAAATCTTGAGAACTGACAATGACAGCGAATACATGGATAAAAGATTTGGTGCTTATTTGGAGTCCAATGGGATAGTCCATCAGACTAGTTGTCCTTACACTAGTGCACAAAATGGGTCGCTGAAAGAAAAAATAGGCATTTTGTAAGTTAGTTATTATGTAAATAAGTATAGTCCTACATGGAATAGGAGTAGTGTAGGTATTGTGTATTGTTATAAATAGGGGTACTTGTATTTTTTTTTTATAAGGTAAATTGTATTAATCAAAAGGGAGAAAAAACTCCCGCATACAAGAAGTATACAAAAAGTAGAGAATTTACATCAGAACATGATTCTCTACAAATGACGCCCAATCTTCTACACAAGTAGGGGCTATATATGTGCACCAGAAAGCGATCAAAGATAAAAGACTATTCTTAAGATGTGAAAACGGAGACTCAATCCCCTAAAAAACTCTCCTATTTCTCTCTCCCAAGACTAACCACATGAGAGCTAATGGGGCGAACTTCCACGCCTTTTGCTTGCTTCTTCTACGGAAACCGGCCCAGCTATATAGCATTTCCTTTACAGCGTTTGGCATCACCCATTGAACACCAAAAAGATTCAGGATTGCCCTCCATAAACCCCAGGGCAATGCAGCATAAGATGATCAACTTCTTCCCCTGAGCTTTTACACATGTAGCACCAACTAACATGTGTAATTCCTCTCTTCAAAATCACTCCCCTCGCTGCTAGCCATGCAAAGAAGCACACCTTCGTGGCGCCTTAGGAATCCAGATCGAGGAGTATGGGAAAGTAGTCTCCTCTCTCACCAACATACTCTGGTAGAAGGACTTTACGGTGAACAAACCATCGCCACGCAACCCCCATCTCCAAGAATCATAAGATGGATGGGGCATGTCTTGCCCGTATAGCAGTGCCAACAAATTTTGGAGCTCCGCAATCTCCCAATCTTGCATGTTCCTTCTAAAAGAGAGGTCTCATACTATCCCCCTTCATGCTCCTTGCGAATTTGTTGGACCATCAATTCCTTCTGGTTTGAAACTCTGAAGACGTGGGGGAAAGAGACCATCAGAGTAGCCTCTCCACACCACCTGTGATTCCAAAAGATGATTCTCCTTCCATCTCCCACCTTGTAAGCGATGTTGCCATAGAAAGTTTCCCAGTTCTTCATGATGTTCCTCCACATGCCACACCCGAATGGTGATGTGATTGCCTTGGTCCTCCAACCCCCTTCCGTGGAATCGTACTTTTCTGCTATGACCTCCCTCCATAGAGCATGCTCTTCTACCCCGAATCTCCACAGCCACTTCCCCAGCAAAGCTCTGTTGAATACCCTGAGATCTTTTACTCCAAGTCCACCCCACTTCTTTGGGGAAGTGACTGTCTGCCAATTCACTAGATGAAACTTTCTAGTACCATCTGTCGCATCCCAAAGAAAATTCCTTTGAAGCCGCTCCAGTTTTTCTGTGGGGTACTTGTATTATAGTTAACATTATCATTAATATAATTTTCCCGTGTATTATTTCTCACATGGTATTAGAGCGTGAGTGAGAC